TTTCCTCACTTAAATAAAAAGTGTTTTTGTTGCCATCTGTGCCCCCTTGAAAGTGATTTCCTATCTCTTTCTGTCCCTTTGATCTCCTGCCATTGCCTCAGGCACATCAAACAAGCCCAATAAGGATGAGCAGTTGGCCCAGTATAAACAATGTAGACCTGAAGAATAGGGGTTAGGCGAGAGTGGCATTACATAACAGAGTCTCACCAGACTGGTGCAGCAGCTGTGATGAAGCATATTACAATCTGGTAAGTTTAGATATGGAGCGTGTCACCTGGTGGCTCGAAATGGTAAATATGACATTTCTTTATTTAAAGAAGTATATTACATGAATTCTTTATTACAATCCTCTAAAAGAAACTGTACACAATATACTTTGGTTAAAAATAATGTGAATGTAAAAAGATTGCCAATTCTATCTTTAGTAAGAACCAAAACACAAAAACAGCCTTAATATGTTGTAAAATCTGACACACACATGCAAAAGGTTGATTTAAGAACATTCACAGGATTACACAACTAAACTCTAAGATGAAATAAGCACAATGCCAGCACAGGACAGCACATCAATAAGAAAGCATGGAAAATGTTTCAGTAGTGCAAGCTTCACCTGCGAATTTATAGTTTTACCTGTGTAAATGGAAGCAGCTCTAAAGCCACTCTAAAATGATTCACTGGTACTTGAAAGACATGAGGCTGCAGATAATGTGTAATTTATTTCTCAATTCCTCCCCAGTCTCCTAAGTGACAGTGTTTCCCTGCTGATACAGATCCTCAACATACCCACACTCATGTTTTATCAGGACAGAAACATGGCACTTGTTTGACATGAACCATGCAGCTTAATGCACAATGTCTGTAATGTGGTATTGTTGGGAATGATTTTATGGTACATAACACTAAACTCAACTTGGAGCATTACCTGCTCATACTTTCTACTTTTGTCTCAGCTTTTTGGTAATGGTAATAAAAGCAGTTTGTTTTTCAACTTAAAGCGACATTGTCATGGCAAAAAAAAAAATCTGGGTGCCTGCAGAGTCCCCACTGCCAGCAGTACTAATTTGGCTACAGTATGGCTCTAGGCCGATAGGAATGTACATCTTCATGCAGTGGTACCCTGCTACTTGTTACACTGCATCTCTCTCCTGCCACATCTCTTAACCATAGCCCCCCCCCAAACTGCTCCACCTCCTCCATTGATAACTAACAAGTAGATGCAATAAAAAACTATATGTTTTTATTTCCTGTAAGCTGTAAAAACTCTTTGGAAACAGGTATTTGAACAGCCATAGTCCATGGTGTTTTAAGCTCGAGTTATCCACCTCTTGATGGTGGCACTATGGAAACCTTATGCTTAGAGGGACTGTAATCCTTACATTAAAGGGTCATTACCTGCAAAAGTGATTCTTTAGTTATAGATGGAGCCTGGTGGAGTCAGCCCCCTGGCTTCTTGCATGTCTCAGAGACTCTAACAGCAAAATCTGTTAGATTTCTAGCACCTCCTGTTACATCCTACGTAATGTAAAATAAAAAACATTTCTAAACAGTCAGGGTTGGAACTTTTCAATGGCCACAGCAGGTGTGCCACTGAAGAAGAAGCACTAGGAAAGTGCGGAGATCTTACTAATAATCCCCTAAAAAATATTTTAAAAAACAATAAAAATATAAAGTTTACGTGAACTGACCATTTAACAATCAAGAGGTGACTGGACAGACAGTAGTTAAATATATTGTCTATTTATCTATACAAGTACAAAGAAGTATGGTATGTGCAGGCAATTAACTCACAGACTGAAGCATAATTATATATTTTAGACCTAATAACCAGTTTGTAAAAGTACTACAGTGTCCATCCTATTTGTAATACATGGTCAATGGTTTTTTAACAAGGAAAAAACAATAAATGTAGCAATTTAGATAACAAGGTTTTGAAAGAAAAAAAGCAACAGGCTGTAAAGGAACTGAAACAAAGGTGAAATGTCTGCACTCAGGATAGTACCAGTAGATTAAATATGATTTTTACGATCATAGCACAGAGCTCAACCAAAATACAGTTTTGCAAATCTGGATAATTAAAAAAAAAATCAGTTATTTTCCTTCCAGTATAATATTTCAATTGACTTTTTGTCTTGCTGACAGAGCAACTGAGAAAGCATTGCCGCATTGACCACATCGATTCTCAGCCATTCTGTCAACAGTAAAATTTTATACAATATATTTTCAGCGTTGACCTTATGTGCCATCGCAGTCCACAGACTCTTCTTCCTTGGTTCCTGTGGCTGTCTGCTAGATTGAGACCGCAATGTAATAAACAACTAAGGTTTAATTAATGGTAAATGAATACAAGACATAGGTTATGACTTTAACTAATTAGGGAATTGTTGAATTAAGTCTGGCTGGGAATGCAAGGCAGTGTAATCAATATCCAATAAAAAGGACTATGTATGTAATTTAGCTGGAAATGTGTTTCCAATACCATCAAACTGAGCTTAAGTAAGTGGAATATATAAGAGGCTAGAATGAACAGTTTTAAAAGGCAAGGGGTGAAAGATTTAGAGTATACTTAACAACAGAGTTTTGACAGCAATTAACTGAAAGTCACAATCTTCCATTTTCATGTGGGTACATAAGGGGTCATATACACAAGTGTCCAACTGGCACCTCTGCTCCATTTCAGATGTGGTGAATGGAGCTCAGTATACACATAAGGATCATTGACCACTTAGGAGGAAAGCTGTAGCCAGTGTAGAGGGAAGTTCAAAATGCAAAATAAAAGTATGAAATGAAGTAGCAGGGAAAGAAAGTCCTCTTCTCCTCTGCCAGTGGTTTATTTCTTAGGGTTTACCATACATACCCATCTATACATTGCAAGTAGTTTAAATTTGTTATTTGGAATATAATACAATCAATATGACATTATTATTGTTTACAAGACATTGGTCTAAACAGCGGATTTCCAGTCTAGTAGTTCCACCGCACCACTCATATTACCCTCAGCCTCTTCCAAGACTGGAAAAACTGGCCTTGACTATACTATAACACAGGCTGGCATACTACAGTGGGCCAGGGTGGTGATGGGGAGAAAGGTATTCCAGCCCACTATACTAGCGATACAGACCACTTCATTGTACCATTTGGGGGCTGCCCACACTCTGACTCTGAGCTTAAGTAAGTGGAATATATAAGAGGCTAGAATGAACAGTTTTAAAAGGCAAGGGGTGAAAGATTTAGAGTATACTTAACAACAGAGTTTTGACAGCAATTAACTGAAAGTCACAATCTTCCATTTTCATGTGGGTACATAAGGGGTCATATACACAAGTGTCCTGATGGGCATAAGAGGGAGCCTGCAAGATCAGGCTCTGAAGAAATTGTGTCTGCAATCACCCCAGGCAACAGTGGAAAGTTTCCTGTTGTGCCGGCAGGGGGTGCTAAGGAGCATAAACTGCCTGCTGTTGTTTCACCTGATGTTCATATGGGTGGAATAGCAGGTGAAAAGCAAATTAAGGAGTCTCTACACCAGCGCTCTCAAAGGAAGATGGCTACGTATACTCCAGTGGTGGGTAAGACTGGTCTTCAATGTTATGTTTGCTGGGACTGGTAATACTGTCAAGAAAGAGACTGAATATGACTCTGTTCATGGTGAAGTGGGAGTGAACCCAGTTGGGAGACCCGCTGTAGAGAGAGACTTGCCTCTGTATAATGTGTTATATAGTGGGGAGGCAAGAGTTAAAAATGCATTTGCAAGTGTTGGTGTACAGAGTATTGCTAATGAGAAGGGTAATACTGCTGAGTTAAAAAATGCATGTTATGAT